ACTGTTGTGGATACCCTCTCACATAAGCCTCATATAACATGACAGAGTTGATGCCCTGGCCAAACTCGCGTCTAACAAAGACACCGTTGAATACAATTTGGGTCTGTCAAAAAGAACCCTTAAAACTGTAATTAGGAAACAACTTATTGATGAGTTTGACGCAAGTAGACAAGTGCAAACAGGCACTAGTCGATCCATAGGTTACCATGATGAGATGTATCAAGTGAAACATGTATATGGAGCAAGTAACAAGATCACTAGATTACAAGATGTTGTAACCGCTAGATTAAGGTTAGGATATAAGTACCTTTGGCAGTATGTTCCTCAAGCAGATGTAAACAAAACTAAATGTAAAGTGTGTGGCCATACATATGGCCACACACTTGAACACTACGTCCTCGACTGTGTGAAGATAGAACCTTTTAGGGACAGGTCCAAGCACACTGTGTGTGAAATGGCACAACACTTCATCTCTAATGGCAAGATAGCCGACATATTAAGATTGTATCCACTTTTTTGCACTTAGTAACTATATCAATTCTCATGTACAGAACCAAATACGCAATGTGCTTGAATACCTTTCACGTAAATGTGAATGACAAAGTGTGAGGCCAGACATACTGCCTCACACGCCTGTACTCACGCATGTGTGAATAAGTTATCCTTTATGTATAGAACTAAACAAATAATGTAAATGAAATACTGTGAAACATTCAGTGCCATAATATCCTGACAACGGGGGTTAATTATTATGACCCTTTGTAAACCCCACTCTGTAATCCTTTTGCGCTACCGCTCACAGGATGAGTGTGGGGTGCACAATAAAGTAGCCACTGCAAGCGGCAAAATCAAAATCAAAATCACAGCCAGAGGAAGAGGGAAAAAACTAAGTGGTACATAACAGAGGGGAAAAAGTAGCAAGGGAAGATATTCCTAGTAGGGGAAAACAGACGCCCGGAAAACAGTAATGTCAAGTTGTTTCGATTTGAGGAAACATCGGAGGCAGTGTGTCATCCTCATTGACTGCCAATTTCACTGAGGGAGAGAGAGAGAAAGGGAAGGTTAGGGAGAGTGATGGAAGAGACGGGAGAAATGGGAGAATAAAGGAACGGGGATAAGGAGAGGCACAGAGGGTGGGAGAGAGAGCGTGTGAGGAAAGCTGTGAGAGTGAAAGGGAGAGGGAGAAAGTGAAGGGAGAGGTGAGCATTGAGAGTGAAAGGGAAGAGATATTAGACAAAGGGGTGGAATAGAGAAGGAAGGTGAGACAGGTAGGAGAGTGAGGGAAGAAAAACGGGAGAGAGAGAAGAGATGGGACAGAAAGGGGAGGGAAGAAGGGGAAAGCAAGGTGAGAGATTGGGATTAAGAGAAGAGAGGGGGGGAATGGAAGAGAAAAGGGGAGAGTTTAAGATGTTAAGATGTAGGAAAGACATAACATAGAGAGGAAGGGGGAGAGTAAGAAGGTGAGAGAGGGAGGAAAAAGATGGGAAAGGAGGAAACTCGGTGTTGGAGGAGATGAGAGAAGAAAAAAGAAGATGGATGGAGGGAGGGACTTGGGGACAAGGAAGAGGGTGAGGGCAGGGGGAAGTAAAAGATAGATGAGAGAGAGAGAGAGAGAGAGAGAGAGAGAGAGAGAGAGAGAGAGAGAGAGAGAGAGAGAGAGGGAAACCCACAGGAGGGAAGAAGACGAGGAGGAGGTGGAGAAGGAGGAAGAAGAAGAGGAAAAGGGGAGGAGGATATGGATGTGGATCAGCCAAGAAGAAGACGATGGGCGGCCAGGAGGATCAGGCCAGGTCAGCTGGATGTCAGGGGAGGATCAGGCCAGGCCACGGGAGCCAGGGAGGATCAGGCCAGGTCACGGGGTGCCGCGGAGGATCAGCCAGGTTACGGATGTCAGGGGAGGACCAGCCAGGTCACGGAGTCAGGAAGGACTGTACAGGTCACGGGAGCTGTGGGAAGGATCAGGCCAGGTCACAGGTTTAGGGAGGACTAGACCAGGTCACGGGTGTCATGGGAGGATCAGGCTGTCAAGGTGCTGGGGAAGGATCAGGCCAGGTCACGGGAGTCAGGGAAGGATCAGGCCAGGTCACGGGAGTCAGGGAGGATCAGGCCAGGTCACGGGGGATCAGGCCGGGTTACGGATGTCAGGGATGATCAGGACAGGTCACAGGGCTTAGGGAGGATCAGACCAGGTCACGGGTGTCAGGGAGGATCAGGCCAGGTCACGGGAGTCAGGAAGGATCAGGCCAAGTCACGGGTGTCAGGAAGGAGATGGTAGATTGTAGACGATGATAGCTGTTAGGATTCCTTACACCGCTCGCGTCAGCCGTTGACAGCGTCTGCGTCAGCCTTCTAGCAGTAGCAATAAGCCTGCTGACGTGGTCGAGGTGACACTGATGGATCTCTCCTTCAGTGTTTTGCCGTGGACTTGTAGGAGGTTGGGGTGGTGACCTTCTGACGGAGGAGGGGGAGTTGTTGTTTTAGGTGCTTCAACTGTCAAGGTTATGAAGCACCGTTCACTAGGACTTAGTTTTAGGTGCCTCAACTGCCAAGGTTATGAAGCACCGTTCACTAGGACTTAGTTTTAGGTGCTTCAACTGTCAAGGTTATGAAGCACCGTTCACTAGGACTTAGTTTTAGGTGCCTCAACTGCCAAGGTTATGAAGCACCGTTCACTAGGACTTAGTTTTAGGTGCCTCAACTGCCAAGGTTATGAAGCACCGTTCACTAGGACTTAGTTTTAGGTGGTTCAACTGTCAAGGTTATGAAGTACCGTTCACTAGGTTATAGTTTTAGGTGGTTCATATGCCAGGGTTATTAAGCACCGTACACTAGGTCTTAGTTTAAATACTAGAAGATCATATCCTGTTATATTCTTAATGTGGATTCCATTTTTGTAACATTTGCTGTCCGATTATGACGTCACAGGCGAGTTTGTTCTCGAAGGCTATTATATACCATCGACAACAATCATAATGTGTTTTGAAGTTACCAAAAGCTTTATTACCGAAAATTTCACTGTAATTTATTTAATCAGGTGTTTAGGGAAGTGTTTCAAATTGAAGATGTTTTTCAACTGTACAAAAAAGGAGAAAGACGAGGAAAGTTAAAAATATTGAGATGAAGGAAGAGGTATGGAGTGGAGTGGAGTGTCATACAACAGCACAAGTGCACTGATAGATCTTTTGTTGCTTCGTAAACATTTTGTGGAGAGGATTAATGCTTTGTTCTTCCTTTTGGATAACATTAACATTATAACATGAACGAAAAATTTGTACAAAAATATTTGTTATAATGTGATATAGGAGGATGGATATATACATGCATACATAGTGTGTGATATTATATATATATATATATATATATATATATATATATATATATATATATATATATATATATATATATATATAATGTGTGTGTTGGTGTGGCTGTTTGTGTTGTATTCGTTTATTTCACAATTTACTAAGAGTCACTGAAAACGCTGCCGCTGAAAATAAAATATAAAAAAAAGTTGAGGATATTGGAAAAAACGGCGTTCAAACATTCCTCTTTTATGTTAGCGGGGATGTGATAAAGTTTGAGTGTGGTGACGAGAGGCGGCATCACACAACCCACCAGCCAGCGTCACACAGACACAGCCACCACCAGCTAGCGTCACACAGCCACCACTAGTTACCGTAACACAGCCACCACCAGGCAGCGTCACACAGCCATCATCAGCCAGCGTCACACAGCCACTACTAGACACTGTCACACATCCACCACCATCCAGCGTCACACAGCCACCACCATCCAGCGTCACACAGCCACCACCATCCAGCGTCACACAGCCACCACCATCCAGCCACCACCATCCAGCGTCACACAGCCACCACCATCCAGCGTCACACAGCCACCACCTACCAGCGTCACACTGCCACCACTATCCTGCGTCACAGCCACTACTAGACACTGTCACACATCCACCATCATCCAGCGTCACACAGCCACCACCATCCAGCGTCACACAGCCACCACCATCCAGCCACCACCTACCAGCGTCACACTGCCACCACTATCCTGCGTCACAGCCACTACTAGACACTGTCACACAGCCACCACCAGACAGCGTCACACAGCCACCACCAGACAGCCACCACCAATCACTCAATTTCTCTCTCGTAACACACAGGTGATCGTCCATTTAATTTTATTATGATTTTTTTTCACTCCGCCCTGTGTTCCGGACCATCACCACCATACACACCTGCATTGTTTTCTAGATTCCTGCTTCTTCTTCTTCCTCTCTCTCTTATGTAACTTTGGTAACTTCAGAATAAATGTTTAGTAATCAGCATTGTAAAGGCCTGGACTTTGGGATATAAATCCCTTGCCAGCCTAATCAGGGTCTTATAAAAGGAAAGTCAAGAACCATGAGTTTCCAAGGGGTCTTGCCACACAGGAGAGACGCCTGGGCACGGACGGTGGATCGGGCGTGGAGGAAGTGGCCATGATGTGGCAGCCGCGGCAGTAGCTGGAGTAGGTGTCCGGAGATTGACAGTCGAATAATGAAGGACTGGGGAATCAGCCCACGAGCCTCAGATGAGTACACAACCAGAGTTGAAATCCAACAGCAGGGTAAGTGCAGCTGTGGTGCTGGCTGGATAGTGTCTGATGTGTGACGAGACAGCAGCGACCATCTCACCTCCGTCTACCCTCCCTAGTGGGGTCACGAACAAGCAAACGAGCGGCGGACAACCATCCAGCTCATTCCCGCCCTAACAAGCAGTATTAGTCATAAATGGAATTTTGACTTTTTTTAACAGTTAGTATGAAAAAAAATTTTTGAGAAGTTGTCAGGAACAAAGTAACTGAAATACGCTGGAGAGAGCAGCTGATTTTAATCATTAATGGTTTCATTTTTTGAAGGCAGCAGCCACCAAAAAATATATTTTCACAGGAGTTGATTTATTGGGCTCAATAGCTGTTTGTATCTAACAATTTTATGTTTTTTTTTCCAGGTCGAGACAACAGAACAAGGTACAGTAAGTACAAAAGTTTTCATTTACGAGATTCAGGATATTGAGTGAATTGTGGTCGTAAGGAAACAGAATATAGCAGGAGTTTTATTCTCTTATTTTTACTCTCTTTTCCTGTGCTGACTATTAGTGGCCCGGTGGCAGAGTGAAGAGAGCAAAGTCGATGAGAGTAAACGGTCAATCAGGAGGACGTATTCTCAGGGAAACACCAAGATGCCCCTGGAGATTGAATATACATGTACAGTAAGGGCTGTTTGTAGTTGTTTTGTATCTTTCTCTCTGAGGAAGGCATGACGCCGAAATCTAAGAGAATAATCCTGCTACTTTCTGTGTTTCCTTATTTCCACAATTCACTCATATAGGATATTATAATAGGGTGTGGTATTTAAATATGCACATCCAAATTACATTTAGTTCCAGGGTTGAAGATTACTTTGAAATAAGATAAGTAACAAAGATTAAATTAATAAGCGTACAGCATTATCCATAATTTTACTAAGTAAATTACTTTGATTCCTGAGCTTTGCTTTATCGTGGAGCGTAGTTTACTTTTTTTATTGTATACATTTCACTAACATTGCTGACCTTTCAGTACTGGAAACCTTGTGGTGATAAATCAAGGCTTGTAATATTGTTACCTTTAGTGTTATGTTAAGTGAAAAAGTCTAGGATGGGTTGTAAGTATAACTGACACTTACTGTATATAGGCAGGGTAGTGTCTGTATTCTCAGATGGAGGTGGGGTTCAGGCAGTTTTTCCAGGTGCAGATAAAGTACTTATGTTTTTTTTTCTGTCTAACTTAAATGCAAACTTTAATTCAGATGAAGGTAAGGGTCATGTACGTATTTATTTCAGTGCACATTTGGAAACTTTCTTTCAGATGAATAAAATGTAAGGTTGCCCACAGGTATAGTGTTCCGTCCCTCGGTGGCTTTTCTGAACATATGGCAATGTTGGAATCACCTTATGATATGAATCGGTAAATTGAGGAGAGCAGGTGTTAGTTACGTGAGGAGAGCAGTTGTTGGTAACGTGAGGAGAGCAGGTGTTAGTAACGTGAGGAGAGCAGTTGTTGGTAACGTGAGGAGAGCAGGTGTTAGATACGTGAGGAGAGCAGTTGTTGGTAACGTGAGGAGAGCAGGTGTTAGTTACGTGAGGAGAGCAGTTGTTGGTAACGTGAGGAGAGCAGTTGTTGGTAACGTGAGGAGAGCAGTTGTTGGTAATGTGTTCAGAAAGGCCACCGAGGGGTATAACACTATTCCTGTAATCATTTGTTAACGTGTCATACATTTAACAATATGGTGATTGTACATCACCATTTTTGTCTGCCTTCAGAGGAAAACTACTGTTTTTTGTCGATTTATTACGAATATTCTACTAGAAAATGACTATTTATTTTTGTTTTTGCGCACAGGTTGTCAACCTGAATTGTTCGCCAAAAGCGTTAAGTAACAATAATCAACTAGAGTTCCCTGATACTAACCGCCACAATCGACTTTTCTCCGCGGCCGTCAAGATTAACTATAGGTATAAAGTTTGTTTACAATTAGTGGCACCAGAGCAGATATAAATTACAGGTGAAATGTGTGTTTTGCCTTTTACTTCATATTAATGTGAATATTAGTACAAAGTGATGTTAAACCATAAGGTAAATTATTATTTTTTTTATATACCGGGATTAGCCCACCCGGTAACAGGTCACTGACTCACATCAGTGCCTGGGGGGAGGGGGGGGGCGAAAATATAATAATAATAATAATAATAATAATAATAATAATAATAATAATAATAATAATAATAATAATAATAATAATAATAATAATAATAATAATAATAATAATAATAATAATAATAATAATAAATGCAAAAATTAAAAAAAAAATCAGTAGTGAGAAACAATATGCATTATGTATGTTGTGATGTCAAAGTAAGAGAAACAATTGAGACCCTGCAATTGTGTGTAAATGAGGCAGAAAGTTAGATCATCAACCTGGGACTTGGTCACAATTTTCGTGATGCCATATAGCAGCAGGGACTACCTTTAGACAACACATTATGCTTCCAATAAGTCCCAGGCGGTAGTGCCTCCCTGTCGGATAGCTGCCTGTTACCTACTACCTACTACAGTACCTACGTCTCTCAGACGTCATCGTACACCATTCTCTCTCTCTCCACACCATCCAGCCCATACACCCCTCCCCCCCACACAGACCCACGTGTGTATATATATATATATATATATATATATATATATATATATATATATATATATATATATATATATATATATATATATATATATATATATATATATATATATATATATATATATATATATATATATATATACTTCATTTTTAGTCCATATAAAACGCGGACTTTGAACATATAATCAGCCATCAGCTCGATGAACAGGCTTTGTGTGAAATATAACAGTCTAGAACTGCTTTTAGTGTCCTTGTGGGCTAGCCGGTAAGCGTTCCCTAGTCCCACCCAGTAGGTCGAGGGTTCGATTCCTTGCTGGTGAGGTCGTTGATTATATGTTCAAAGTCTGCGTGTTATATGGACTAAAAATGAAGTATATATATATATATATATATATATATTTTATATATATTTATATATATATATATATTTTATATATATATATATATATATATATATATATATATATATATATTTATATATATATATATATTTTATATATATATATATATATATATATATATATATATATATATATATATATATATATATAGAGAGAGAGAGAGAGAGAGAGAGAGAGAGAGAAGAAAAACACACGGGTGTCTGGTTGAAGGGTTGTAGATAATTTGGTTTCTGCGAGACAATTTTTTTGTTTACATCAATCATCACAAAACAATCATCGCCACCCCTTAATACTGTCTTCCACATCCCTTGAATCCCATCCACATTCCTCCATATCCCTCTACATCCCTCCATATCCCTCCTTACCTCTCCACATTCCTTTACACTTTTAAACATTTTCCGTTTTTCCTTTATTTAACTTAACGCTTCTCCACATCTATCTAACCCACTCCTCTTTCAACCCCTCCACCTCCTTTCCTCACTCCTCCACTCCTCTTTTGTCACCACCTCACACCCCTCCACTCCCGTTCCTTACTTCTCCAGTCTTTTTATGCCACCCTCCTACACCCCTCCGTACCCCTCCGCTCACCTGTCTCGCCTTTTATCTCAGTAATTACGACGCTCTACCTGATTAATGATCAACACAACAGGTAACAGCAGCTTCCAGGTGTAATTTTCATCTTGACCTTGAAATTTCTTCATTTAGTTTTCTTTTTACACTTTGACGAGGCTGGTATTGAAGATTTAATAGAGGGGGGGGAAGGAGGCAGAGGAGAACTGGAGGCAACCAGGAGTGAAAGGGGAAGGGGGGAAACAATGATTGAAAGAAAAATAAAGGGAAGGAGGGATGAAGGAAGAGAGACGAAAGGAAGGAGGGAATCAGGAGGTGAAGGAGGAAAAAAGAGAGGGAAGGGATGGAAAGAACGAAGAGAGAAGGAACCAGGAAGAGAAGGAAGGGGAGAGGAGGATAAATAGAGAGGGAAGAAAGTAAAGAAAAGGAAGGGAGAGAAGGAAAGAAAATGGAAGAAGGAAGAGAGGGGGAAGGGGATAGAAGAAGGAAGAGAGGGGGAACCAATAAGAGAAGGAAGAGGAGATATGGAAGAAAGAAAATACGGGGAAGGGGAGAGAGGGAAGAAAGAAGAGAAAGGGAAGGAGAGAGAAGGAGAAAGAGAGAGGGAAGAAGGAAGAGAACAGGAAGGGGATAGAAGGAGGAAGAGAGAGGAAACCAGGAAGAGAAGGAAGAATAGATATGGAAGAAAGAAAAGAAAGGGAAGGGGAGAGAGGGAAGCAAGAAGAGAAAGGGAAGGGGAGAGAAGGAGAAAGAGAGAGGGAAGGAGGAAGAGAAATGGAAGGGTAGAAAAGGAGGAAGAGAGAGGGAAGAAAGAAGGGAAAGGGAAGGGGAAAGGGAAAGAAGAAGAGGAGACACACAAGGGTTGAGAGAATCATTAGTCAACTCACAGTATTTGATATTTCAGTATTTTTTCTCGATTGTAAAAGTTGAACAACTAACAAGATCAAAAGGTCAACATTATCATATAGAGTAAAATAGTTATAACTACAATAACGTAAATAAATAAATAAAGTAAAGGCTTATTATACACCGTTCACTAGGTCTTAGTGTTAGGTGCTTCAAGTACCAGGGTTATGAAGCACCGTTCATACATACATACTGTACATACATACATACATACATCCTGTACATACATACATACATACGTACATACATACATACATACATACATACATCCTGTACATACATACATACATCCTGTACATACATACATACATACATACATACATTACATCTGCATCATTATAAGTAAATGATGACTGCTTACTTAAACGCCGTGTTAAGTACATCATGCTCTCACTTAACATGCGGTGAAGGAAGGCAGGACCATCGCCCCCAAGCACCTAACAAGCGCTCATACACACGCAATCATAAATTCATGTGTGTGTCAGGCTGGTGTATGTTGTGTGTCAATGGTGTACACACACACACACACACACACACACACACACACACACACACACACACACACAGCTGTTTTCTCTTCCCCTCATCTTCTACCCCTCTCTCACTCCTCTCTTTCTCTCTCAAAGGCCTTCACGCAACAGTAGACTTGAGTTTTTCTTGGCGTCTTTCCCTTGCCAACTCCCATTCATTGAAAGAGAGAGAGAGAGAGAGAGAGAGAGAGAGAGAGAGAGAGAGAGAGAGAGAGAGAGAGAGAGAGAGAGAGACTATATACATGACATTATATATTTTTTTCTAATTTCTCGTCTAAGGTCAAAGGTCATTGTCAATCTAAGGTCACACATACATACACTGCCCCTCTGTCCATATAGTGTCATTCATCCACCCATTCATTCATACTGTTTTCATAGATGTGTCATGGTAAAGGCAGTTTATCATGCATTCATTCAATCATTCATTCCTTTACTCTTGTGCCGTTATAGCTGTGCGCTTCATGACACTATCTCAAACAAGGGCCGTTATAGCTGTGCGCTTCATGACACTATCTCAAACAAGGGCCGTTATAGCTGTGCGCTTCTTGACACTCTCTATCTCAAACAAGGCCGCTAAATTTGAGCTTGGCTTACTCTCTGTTGCCTCTCATACGCCAGCATCAC